GGAGTTGGAGGTTGCTGTGAGCTGTGATGGCATGGCACTCTACCCAGGGGGACAGCTTGAGGCTCTGTCTCAAAAAAAAAAAAAAAAAAAAAAGATACAATAAGGAAGCAAAACAAATCTTGCCTAAAAAGTAAACCCACTTTTATATGCTGCAAACCTTAGCAATCAACATGTTTTAACAAACATTACAAAATGACATATTATGCCTTCAAAATATGGTGAGTTAGGCTGCTAAATAGAGAAAGACATAAATGAATAGAGGATAAACTAAAATAAATTAAAAGTTCAGCCTTAGCCATGATATTAAAACCTACTCATCCTGACCTATGTATTCATTTCGCATTTTCCTAAAATACATGTCAAAAATAGGGAATATGTGTTCAAAGTTAACTAACAATAAGGGTCAGAGCTCTAAAGACTTCAAAGTAACCAGCATACAAAATTATTTCAAGGGCATAACATTCCCCACAGGATATCTAATTAGTTGCTTGTGGTCATCCTGAGCATTCTACTAAATACATCTGTCCTCCTAGATGTCCAATATCCCTCCATCTGCTTTGTCAGCTATATTCTTAAAGGCACAATGTGAAACTTTAAAATCAGCAAATTAAAAGGTTGGTTCTTAAGTAGAAAATTCAGAGGACAGAATGAAACAAGAAGAAATGATAAGAAATATCCTTAATCAAAATTACTAAAAAGAATAGGAATTAATTATCCAAAGTACAGAGCTGAATTTATACAGAAATTAACAAAATAAAATGTGTTCTGCCTAAAAGTTTTATAAAGTACCTAGGGGAGGAAACAGTGGTTAGGTTATAATGTCGTATTTTTAGAAACAACACACTAATGTAATGAGACAATTTATGTCATTTGGTTTGATGACTAGAGCTCTGGTGTTATTGTGTTAATTCCATTGGGAACCAAATTCTGATCCAATATTATGTTCTACTGGTAATATTAAAGATAAATATTGTGCCAAATTCTGGCTGAGTTTATAAGGTCTTTTTGCTCATAGAACTCATTTTGTCAACAAAACATTCAGTCCATATTAATAAGTAAATAAGTCAGGGAAAGTATAGTTAGAAATGAATTGAAACATAGTTATAGTTTATAGGACAAAAGTAAATCTTTTCACAAAGCTGAGAGTTTTCTGTGTTATTTCAATCATGGACTGTACCTGAATACAACTCATTTAAAATTATGGAAGTTGTGAATTACAGATCTTTCACACTTATGAAATGTCAATAAAAACATACACATACTATATTTTATTTCATTTTCTTTTGAAGAGCTCATTAAAAATACACTGTCAGTGGTTGGATTTTCTGTTCTTTTTTTTTTTTAATCAATATCAGACATTATCCATACTTTAAGGAATATAAGGGACAATGTGTGTTTTCCAGATATTTTCTGAAATTTCTTGAGAGGATAATGAAACATCTTGAAAGGATCAGGAGAAACACATTTGAAAGTCTTATGTATAATTTACAGCCAAGTACAGAGTCGATGCATTCATCTGATTAATGAAGGACTCACACAGATGGAATATCTACAGGTTTTCAGTTTTAGGAAGAGAGAACAAGAAGGGAGGGAATAAAATTTTATTTTATTAATAAGGCTATCATGCAGCTTTCCTTACTTTAAAAATAACTAGCTTCAATAGTGGAAGTTATTATAAGCTAATTCAGAATGTTAAAATAAATGGTAGACATAAAGAAAATAAATTGAACTGCATATAACATAAAATTGTAAGTAGTCTTGAACAAAATTGTTTTACTGAAAATTGCATAATAATAACATAGGTGTGATGATAAAATTATAATCTAGATCCATTGGTCATATTACCTAAATAATATTGCAAAAATTACAACAACTTGTAATAGATGTGTGGAATTCCTCATCTTAATGAGGTTTCCATATGACATGATTGCTTTGAATATATTAAAACCAAATTGATGATAACAACTAGGGAAAACAAAACAATTCTTAAAACAACTCAAAGAAATGATGCAGAAAAGAAGACAGAGGATTCTACTACTTTATTCCACACTATATGAGCTATACTTTTATCATTAAATCATCTAAAAAATTAAATTCTTTATAGTTAAAAAGGTATATATGCTTGTATAAATGTATATGCATGTATGTAAGTATGCATGCACATGTGTTTAATATATCATACACACATATGCATGGTGTATATACACATATGTGCACATGCATACATATATATTCACATGTCCATTCATGTGCAGACATACATATATGTGTACTTAGACACAAGGTGCAGGAAATTGCATGTATACTGAAAGATGTTAAAATGACTCATGATAAAAAATTAGAGAAAACTGAATTATAACCTAATGTATTAATTACAAATTAAGAACTTACTTTGGGCGACTTCTGTGGCTCAGTGAATAGGGCACTAGCCCTATATACCGAGGGTGGCAGGTTCTAAACTCTGCCCCGGCTGAACCGCAACCAAAAAATAGTTGGGTGTCGTGGCAGGCACCTGTAGTCCCAGCTACTCGGGAGGCTAAGGTAAGAGAATTGCTTAAGCCAAGGAGTTGAAGGTTGCTGTGAGCTGTGTGATGCCACAGCACTCTACCAAGGGCAGTAGGCAGTAAAATGAGACTCTGTCTCTACAAAAAAAAAAAAAAAAAAAAGAACTTACTATTACTGTTTTGTAGAACAACTCCAAATACTTTTGAGAAGTTGCTCTTATTAAGTTCTGTTCTGTCCTTCAAGAATCACACTTAATAATACATTCCTAGTATGCTAACTACAGATATGGTCAGTGTACAGGTGAAATGGTCTTATCTTGTATGATTTGGAGAAATATAAAACCTTTTCTACTTTGTGTCTGATCTCATTCT